AACCACTGGGCCACCAGGGAAGCCCTATATAATTATTTTTAATCGAGGTGAAATTCACATAACATTTACCATCATTTTACCTTTTAAAAATATTTATTTATTTATGTTTGGCTACATTGGGTCTTAGTTGTGGCAACGTGGGGTCCTTTGTTGCAGTGCACAGGCTTCTCTCTAGTTGTGGCCCATGGGCTTAGTTGCCCTGTGGCACGTGGGATCTTAGTTGCCCGACCAGGGATCGAACCCGCGTCCTCTGCATTGGAAGCATGGCGTCTTAACCGCTGGACCGCCAGGGAAGTCCAGCATTTACCATGTTAAATTGTACAATCCAGTGGCATCTTGTTCACTCATGATGTTGTGCAAGCAGCACTTCTATCTAGCTCCAAAATATTTTCATCCGCCCCAAGAGAAAACCCTGTACCCATGAAGCACTCAGCCCCCATCCCCCTCCCCAGCGCCTGGCCACCACCGATTCACCTTCTGTCTCTAGGGATTCACCTCCTCTGGAATTTTCCTAGAAATGCAATCCTACGATATGCACCCTTTTGTGTCTGGAGTCGTCCACTCATGTTTTCGAGGTTCTTCCACATTTTTGCGTGTGTCAGTGCTTCACTCCTCCATAAGGCTGAATCGTGTCCCACCCACTTATTACTTTTATTCTACAGGTAATGATTGACAGCTGCAGGTACGGAGGGCCGACGCTGTGCCAGGCACTTTGCAGGCGCGTCACTTGTTTCTTTTATTTATTCCATTTATTTTTGCCCTAGTGGCTCCCGCTGTGCAGAGGAGGAAGCTGAGAGCTTGAGGGGAAAAAGGACCCTCCCAAAGGGCACACAGCTGGTTAGTGGTTACGCCAGGGCTGGAGCCCCAGTGGTGTTTGACTCCCAGGTGCTGACAGCTTGAGGAAAGTGGGCAAAGAGGGCAGTGGGCAGAGGCCAAGAGAAGCCCCGATGGGGAAGGTCACCGACATGGCGTGGGCCAGGGGCCAGGGGAGGTGAGGTGGGCCCCACCTGCAGCTTCTCCCTCTCTGGCCACTCCCCGCTGCCCCTCCCCCTCCACTCTCCGCCCCAGCCGGCCAGCACCCTGCGGACCCACGCGCTTTACCTGCCTCCACTTGAGGCCACGTGTCTCTGCCGCTACCCCCCAGTGCAAAGCTGCGGCACGAGGGGTCAGCAGCAGCACAGGCCCAGGTCCAAGATGATGCTCTGGGGTGACTGCTCCCACCGTTACCTTGAGTCTCCACTTTGCTGCTGTCCCTCCACCGAGGCCTGGGCAGCCTTCCTCAGACCTGACTCTCCATCCTCCAGCACAGCCTTGGCCTGACCTCTGCTCCCCCAAACCCTGTGTGGGACCTGCAGCCCAGCAGACTTGCTTCTGAGATTTGTCCAGACGTCAAATTGTCCAGGGAGAAGCTTCCTGTATCCTGACCAATCCCAGTCTTATTCCAAATGGGTTACGAGAGCCACATGTCTTACAGCGCCTCTCCCCCTCCACACCTACTCATGCACGCACGCGCGCACACACACACACACACACACACACACACCCCTTCTCCCTCCCCACTCCTCAGCAGGTCTGCAGGAACTGGATCCCCCTCTGCTCTCCCCACCACACCCGTGCTCCTACCTGCCGCGAGGGGTCCTCCAAGGGTGACAGAACAAATTAGACTTTCAGTAGAATCTTCAGGAGCCTGGGGTACAGATGAAGTTGGGAGGATGGTGCAGAGGCTCGGTTCTGCAGAAGCCCGCACCCTTCAGCCACCCAAGCCTTCTTGCTGAAGGTACCTTGGTTGAGAACACAAGGGCTTGGGGGTCTGTATGCCCACTGCGGTCTCCACCCATCTGGAGGCTCTTCTAGATGTGTCCAGGTCTTCTCCTTCTCGCTAAGGTTTTGCCAGGATGGGCCCTGGAGAGATAATGGAGGGGCAAGACCACCCGGTCCACTAGCAGGGTCTGGTGACTCCTCACCAGGTCCTGACTCAGAGGCGCCCTGGGCAGCAAGGCCAACTTGACCGTCTTCTCCCGGTAATGAGGCAGCGGGTTTGGGCAGGGCCAGCTCCTGGCGAAATCACTGGGAAGTGGGTTGGGCATGAGCTGGAGGCCTCCAGGCTCACACCTTCCACCAGCTGAGATGTGCCGGTACCTGGGGGGGGGGTGGGGGGGAAGGGGTGTGGAGAGGACAGAGGTCAAAGGACAGACCTAGGCATGATGGAGGGGGCGGAAGGGGAGGAGATGCTGCCTTCCACCAGCTGTCAGCCATCAGGCTGTGGAGGCCCCTTCCAGCTTTCTCCCCACCTGGATACTGACCTGTGCCCAACGGCCTGCACCCTGTGTGTGCGTTTTGGCATTAGGCTTGGTGAAATCATGTTATCTGGTGGGTCAATCTTCCATCCTTCGGACACGCAGCCTGTAAGGGGGTCGTCCAGATTCTAGCTGTCCTCCAAGCCCCACCTTCTCCACAAACGCAGTCCAGGAGCCCTTCCTACTCTGCCCTGCTGCCCTGCGACACCGGTCTCACGGCTCGATCTTCTGCAGACCTGCGGTATTTGGTTCAACACTGGGAAGTCCACTTTTCGTACAACAGGGTTGAATACTGGCAAATCGTTCAACGTGCTTTGCCCTGGCCCAGCAGGTATCCTCCCGTTTGCTGATCAGAGGTTCGCAGGCTTGGCTGCATGTTAGAATCACCCTGGGGAGCTTTTTAGAAACACTGGTGCCTGGGGTCTCCCCCAGGCCAAGCAAGTGAGACTCTCCCAGGTGGGGCTCAAACCTCAACATTTTTCTGAAGTGGGCCCGGTGATTCTAACGTACTGTCGGACTGGAGGGAGGCGGGGTTTGCAGGTAAATGTCCTGCTTCCCCATGATCATGAGCGTCTGGAAGCCTTGTGTGGTCCTCTTGCTCAGAATGTGCTGTCTCATCTCCTAGACGGGGTTCATCTGAAGCCCCTCCAGAGCTGCTCCGCAGGGGCCACAAGACTGGGCGGGCCTCCCCTCTCTCTCTTGCTGCCACCTGGTGGACTTCACGTGCCCTTCAAGGTCCAGCTCCAATGCCACCTCCTCCTTTATTCCTGCTCCAGGGGCGGGCTACAGCAGCAAGCCAGCGAAACCAGGACCTTCTCGCACAGAGATGATTTATTGAGCCCCTTCTCCCTGCCAGACACCATACCCCGAAAGGTACCAGGTACATCTCCAATACACACCTGGGGAAAGTGAAGCTCAAGGAATTTAAGAATGTTGAAGTTGTGTCGCAAGTTTGCGATGGTAGATTCCAGCCTAGTTCTGTTCGACTCCCAGGACCTGGCTGCTTCTGCCAGCATACACACATATTCCCTGTGCACCGAGCACTGGGCTGAGCTCTCTGTGGATGATACTGTATTTCTCTCCTGCTACCTTTATAGAGCATTATGTTGGCTGTGAACTTGTCTGATTCCTGGGTCCGACAGGAGGGGAGGTGGAGTGTGGTGGTTAAGAATGAAGCCCTGGATCCCTGGTGGCGCAGTGGTTGGGAGTCCGCCTGCCGATGCAGGGGACATGGGTTCGTGCCCCGGTGCGGGAAGATCCCACATGCCGTGGAGCAGCTAGGCCCGTGAGCCATGGCCGCTGAGCCTGCGTGTCCGGAGCCTGTGCTCCGCAATGGGAGAGGTCACAGCAGTGAGAGGCCCGCGTACCGCAAAAAAAAAAAAAAAAAAAAAAAAAATGAAGCCCTGGAGCTGTGCTCCCTGGGTTCAAATCCCAGCTCTGCTCTTACTGGCTGAGCAAACTTGGGCAAGATACTCGACCTCTCTGTGTTTCAGATGCCCCATCTGTAAAAGGGGGTTGATAATAGTAGTTTCTATTCAGGGAGTAGTGGGAGGATTAAGTAATATAGTAAAGTGATTAGAACCATTTGGCTGTGAGGTGTTTGAGCAGCGATCTGAGTCTTCCCCACGTCCGTGTGTCCAGAGTTAGTACGGAGTAGCTGTCAGTGGTCAGCGTTGCAAGACAGCAGAGAGAAGTCGAGGTCCTAGTAATCGTCTCTCAAAATCACCAACTGTTGGCTTTTTCTTTTAAAGATTAAACACCTCCGCAGCCTCCCACTCCAGTCCCTTGGGGCTTCTGTCAATGGGATTGGAGTTTGAGACACGCTTTGCATTCCTCTCCCTGTTTCCTGCCACCCACGCCCAGAGCCTAGAGGGCAGCGGAGTGGAGACGACCCGTGCATGCCCACGATGGGCAGTGAGGGAGAGTCCCTCCACACTCCTGCCTCTGCTCACACCAGCCACCCCTCCTCTCGACGCTTCCAAAGCCTTCCTCCCCTCCCAGCCTCTACCCCTCTAGCCCGCCTCACGAAGCCTTCCTGGGGCGGTGCTCCAGATGACACCCACCCCTCCCTCTTCTGAATTCCTGTAATAACGTCTGTGTTTGGTATGGTGATTTTATGTATCCATTCACCCACTTTATCTTCACGCAGTGAGGTGGGCACGGCACTTACCACTTTCCCCTTCCCCACCCATCTTTCAGCAACCGTGGAACTGAGTCTGGAAGAACTAAGCAATTTGCCAAAGTGACACAGTCTGGAGTTTAATCCAAGCTTCTGCCTCTGGCTCTCGGCTCTTTCTATTAATAATTGATGTCCTCACAACACCCGTTGTCTGTCTCACGCTTTGGGCACTTGGCACACGTGGGCTGGTGTTGAGAGCTGTCTTTCTGTGCACGTGTGTCGGTACCTGCCTTTCAGAAGCTCCTTGAGGGCAGGGACTGAATGACATTTCTCTGTATCCCTGGGGCCTGGCAGGCATCAAGTATCAATACACAGTTGTCTCCCCTACATTTTCGTTAAGTAATCAAGTCCCTCCCCTGTCATTCCCTGGCCTCCACCCGGTCCCTCCAGCTGCATTTGGACAGAGTTGAGTTTTCAGGTGACCAGAGGAGGGACGGTAAGACGTCAGAAAGAGGAATCGGAAAGAGGGAGGGGTCCCCTGGGCACGGGTGGGTTGGGTGGGCTCCCCAAGGAGGGAGCTCCTCTTACTTCTTGAAGTTCTTCGGGGGCAGGACATTGCCGTTGGCATCGAGCAGGGATGCCCTGACCTCACTCCTCAGCGTGAGCTTCCCCACCTCTCTCAGCTCCTTCATTGTCCTGAGAATCACCTGGTACCTCCTCTGTGCATCCAGAAAGAGAGGAGTACAGGAGATGAAGGTCAGAAAGCTGTTTTGACTCATCCAGGACGGAGGGGGCACCGGGGGCTCTGCTGGGGGTGGCGGTGGGCCCTGGAATCCGTCAACCAGTGCCAGACGTTGCTGTCATAGGGCCTGTCAGGCCTGGCGGGGAAGGTGGCCGGCAGACGTCCCACATGCAGCCACGTGTGGAAGCCCCAGGTGTGCTGGGCCGCATCCTTCCAGGGGCAGGCCAGTCGATGACGCACCTTGGCCTTCATTTCCATGCAGGGTGGCAGCTTCAGGGCCAGCTGGTGGTTGGCTTGCCGGGTGAGGCCGGGCAGCTTCGAGGACTCCCTGGGGAGGACGAACTCGCGTTGAGCCCACGTGCGGGGCGTCGGGAGGGTCTCGTGGGCGTGGACCATCTAGGGAGAGACAAGGGAGCCTGGGAGCCCTCTGCCTCTCCTCGGCTGGAGCGGACAAGCTGCCCGCGGCCTCCAGACCCAGATTCTCATCAGGACCAGGTGGCCGGGGGGCAGTGGGGGGGCGGTGGGACGGGACGTTTTCTCGGTTCTTGCCCAGAGTGCGTGGCCACTTGGTATGATTTGCACGCATCCTCATAGACTGTCCTCTGTCCATCTGTCAGGTTGTGTTTTCCCAGGCTCTTTCCTCAGCTGACATTTTCCCTCTCCTCACCCTGCCTTCACCATCCCCCCATCCTGGGGCCCCCGTTCCTGCCTGGGGTCTGGCGCTTCTCTCCAGGCACACTGGACCTGAGGTAGTGTGGGGGAAAACGCCCCTTCCAAGCAGAGTGCAGAAGGGAAACCATTCTCCAGGGAATGGGGCTGGAGCTTTTCTGCCCCGGCCCCTCCCGTCCCCCGCTGCTCTGTCATTGGTGCGTCCCCCTCGTGTAGGAAGCATCCAGCTGTGGGTTCCTTTCCTTTCTGGCGCCCCTCCACCCCCCGTGAAATAGACAGTGGCAGATATATACTTGACACTTTGCGAAATACTTATCCTCATCTCATTTAACCCTCACACCTTGCAAGTAAGTGTTCTTGTTGCATCTCAAAGATGCAAGAAGCAAGGCACGTGAGGGTGAATAACTTGCCCACGACACAGTGAGGGCAGCAGAGCTGGCACCGAGTCTGTGCCACTCAGGACACCAGGCTCCTCCAAATGCCTCTGCTTCCCACTAGGACTTTTCTTTTCTTTTTTCTTTTTTTTTTTTTTTTGCGGTACGCCGGCCTCTCACTGTTGTGGCCTCTCCCGTTGCGGAGCACAGGTTCCGGACGCGCAGGCTCAGCGGCCATGGCTCACGGGCCCAGCCGCTCCACGGCATGTGGGATCTTCCCGGACTGGGGCACGAACCCGTGTCCCCTGCATCGGCAGGCGGATTCCCAACCACTGCGCCACCAGGGAAGCCGCTAGGACTTTTCTGATCCCCAAAACTCACCTGTTGCTTGGGCCCAGTCCCCTAAGTCATGTCTACATGCACACCCCGGGGGTGGGTCTGGATGTCATAACCAGACATTTCCTCTCCTCTGCCCTGAGCTTCGTGTTCACAGGGTCATAGGACAAGGGTTCACGGGCCCGGAGCTCTGCTGCCCGGGAGAAAGCATGGCCCACCCCAGGGCGGGCAGGGGGCAGGCGGGGGGTGGGGCTGGGGACAGCCCCTCACCCAGTGTGGTACAGAAAGGCAGCTGCAGAGATGCGGCCCCGCCCACCGCCTTCAGGAAAGGTTCTCTGATGCGGGCCGGGTCACGCTGCCCCCTGGGCGATCTCTGCATGTTGCTGGCCATTTTCCTGGGCTTCCCTGCAGGAGGGGCAGCTTTGTAGGGAAGACCTTCTTGCCAGCATTGTTTGCTGCTGGGGTTGCTATGGTGATGCTTCCTGGGTGGAGACGCAGGGAGGAGACCCTTACCTCTCCCTGGGAGGGCTCACCAGTCCCTCGGGCCCTGGCTGCCTTTCAGGTGAGGCAGGTGGGGAATAGGGCTCGTAACAGGAGCTGCTTCGAGGTGGGGGGCAGAAAAGCAGGGCGGGCTGGCTCCCAGGCCTCCGGTTGGGGGTGGAGGTGGTCATGAGGCGCCTGTAACTGGGCCCATCCTTCCCTAATGTTGGTGGGCGCGTGCCCCTGAGTGGGCCTTTCTTCAGGGAGCCCTGGAAGGCCTAAGTGACCCAGCAGGCTCAGAGGTCCCCAAAAGAGGCTGGCTGTGCAGGCCTCACACTGGGAAAACTGCCAATTGACTGCTGAGTTGGGAGGACGTGCCAGGGCGGAGCAGGGAGGTGACCGGGCCACAGCCCTTTGCACTCTCCTTCCAGGCCTCCGTGTTGGCCTCAAGCCTTGCATCTTCCCTGTCACAGCCATTTTCATCGTCACCCACTTTCCTTCCCAACCCCCCTCACACCGTAGGGACCAGATACCAGCGCGCCACAGACCGGCATGTGCCCCTGGGCTTTATTGAGTAGGTAGTTACAGTAGTGTTTTGGAGCTGGGGGCTGTGCACGCGGTCAGCTGGGGCCCAGGGCGGCTCTCTGCAAAGCTGGGTTCTCTGTAAAGCTGCGGCGCCAGCTCAGACAGGCAGGCAGACAGGCCAGCCGGCCTCCGCCTCCTAACTCGTCTCTCTGGCATGATTAGGGACCTTATCAGAGAAACGTCTCTCGGGCACATCTGGGCACCCACTCTGCTCCAGGTGCCTCCATGCCCCCGCCCCACTCTTGACCCATAATAAGAGACCCTTTCACCAGGATTTCTTCTTGCAGGAAAGCTGACTTGGAAACGTGGGCAGGTGGGAGGCAGTGGCAGTAGGAGGGATCCTGGCAGGCTGACTCGCGTATCGGGGCACCTACAGTGAGGAACCCTCGAGGGAGGGACCTGGGAGGAACTGTGCACTGCAGCCCTTCCTACTGCAGGAACCAAAAGCAAGTAACAGAAGCGAACTGAACCTCCTGGTGGTTATCGTGACCCCCTTCTGGCAGCCTCTAGATAATGATCTAAGGAGATAGATAGGTTTACATTTATAATTAGAGGATAATTAGGAACATATACACCATTTACAAGGGCCACCCTGCCCGCAGCAGGGAAGGTGGGGGGTGGCTGGGCACAGGCACAAACAGTCGGGGGCGGGGGGGCTCCTCATCTCTTTTCACCCTTGTTTTTGCTGTTCCTACCCGCAGCTCCTAGTAGGGAGGGAGGAATCAGATTCTCTTGGGGAGTGGGTGGCACAGAGACTGGTCACCAGCACCTCGCGGCTTGCAGAAGGCCCAGTGGCGGCTCTGGCGTGACACCTGCCTTGGCGTCACCAGGCCAGGTGGGCTGGAGGAGCAGACGGCCCCCGCCTGCCGTCCTGGCGCAGGGCGCCCGGAGAGCCGCCAGCTTGAGCGGTGCGGTCCTGTCTCTACCGCAGCTCGGGGATGAACTGAGCCCAGCCGACGTCGTCGGAGCCCAGCAGGTCCTCCTCCAGGCCGGGGAAGCTGATGTCCAGCAGTATCTTGCTGAGGCTGTCATTCATCGTGTCCAGGACCAAGCCTTCTGTTAGAGAACGGTTGGCCGAGAGGCCGGCAACCTGCGGCTCGGAGGAGCCTGGCTTGGGGACCTCCATATCTGAGGAGGGACAGCCGCTGAAGGGGTCAGCAGTGATGTCAAAGGGCTCGGAATTGAGGAGCTCTCGGGGGGAGTCAAAGAGGGGGACGCTCTTCAGCGGGGTGGCGCTGAGATCCGCCAGCTCCAGCGAGTCCGGCAGGGGCCCAAAGGCACCCTGGGGGGTTCGTACGGGGCTGAAATCGAGCCCCCCAGCTTTGGCCGGGGGCGTGAGCCTCCAGGATTCGGGGGTCACGGGGAGGGCAGATTTGCTTGGGGTGGAGGAGATGGGCAGCATCTCCTTGATGGGTGTCTTGAAAGGCCCGCCCTCCTCCTGGGAGGAGCCAAGCTGGGAGGCAGGCTGCGAGGACCCTGCTGTGGCTCGACGGGAAGTCCCGGGGCCCTCGGAGAAGAGCAGCTCCGGCTCGTCCAGACAGGGTGGCAGGAGGTGCTGTTTCCTTCGAGACCGGCTCCTCTCCCTCCTCTCCCTGCGTTTGATGACAAGCAGGTCAGAGACGCAGCGGGCTGGGGACTTGGGGCCGCTGTAGGACTTCTTGGGCCTGGGGATGGGGGAGCGGGACGAATCCTCCCAGGAGGGGGACGATTCCTCCTTGACAGATGGGCAGGGCGAGGGCCACTCTTCCAGGGGCGGGCTCTCGACTTTGATGGGTCTCCCTAAGTGTGGCGTTTCCTCCCCAGGCTGCACTTCTTCCTCCTTGATGGACTGGACTGGAAGCAGAGGAGACAGCCCTTCTCCAAGGAGGAGCTTCTCCTCTTTCACTGGTCCTGCCGTGGGCAGAGGGGCAACGCCCTCGTCCGCGAGCAGCACCTGCAAGGGAAGCAGGTTAAGGTGAAAGCCAGGTCTGGAGATTCAACCAGGCAGCAGGTGGGACACAAGTTCATGACTAAGGCAAGTGACATGCGGGTACTGATCCTCTTTTGTCTTTTTAAAGTCTTCAAGACTATTAGACATGAGACTAGATGATGAAGGTGGTAGTTTGGTAAGAGACAGAGCGTTTCCTGGGCTTCCCTGGTGGCGCAGTGGTTAAGAATCCGCCTGCCAATGCAGGGGACACGGGTTTGAGCCCTGGTCCGGGAAGATCCCACATGCTGCGGAGCAACTAAGCCCGTGCTCTGCAACAAGAGAAGCCACCACAATGAGAAGCCCGCGCACAGCAATGAAGAGTAGCCCCCGCTCGCCGCAACTAGAGAAAGCCCGCCCACAGCAGCAAAGACCCAACGCAGCCAAAAATAAATAACTTAAATAAATAATAATAAAATTAAAAAAAAAAAAGACAGAGCGTTTCCTATGGTGCTGGCATAATTAGTATCCATCTGAGAGAAAATAAATGGCTGTTTCATACCATATACAAAGACTTAAACAGAAGAATTAAAACCATACAAATCCTGAAAGAGAATCTAGGAAACTACATGTACAGTCTGAGGGGCGGGGGGTGAACTTCTTAACCAAGACTGGAAACCCAGAGGCTGTAAAAGAGAAGAGAGACATACTTGACTCCATAAAAAATGTAAAATCGGGGCTTCCCCGGTGGCGCAGTGGTTGAGAGTCCGCCTGCCGATGCAGGGGACGTGGGTTTGTGCCCCGGTCCGGGAAGATTCCACGTGCCGCGGAGCGGCTGGGCCCGTGAGCCATGGCCGCTGAGCCTGCGCGTCCGGAGCCTGTGCTCCGCAACGGGAGAGGCCACAACGGTGAGAGGCCCGCGTACAGAAAAAAAAAAAAAAAAAAAAAAAATCTTAAAAGACAGGTTAATATTTTAATAACAAAGAAATCACAAATTATTAGCAAAACCCTATAGGAAGATGGGCCATGTCCATAAATAATCGTCTCACAGTGAAAAATTCCCAGTGACCAAACGCAGTGAGCAGGTGCTGACTTACCGATAAGCAAAGGACGATAGAATGAAACAAGGAGTTGTCCTTCGTACACCACAGGGGGCAAATATTAAAAGGACTGATAACACCCATGGCTGGCAAACATAGGTCTTGTTGGTGGATGTGCGAATTATCACAGATTTTTCTGGAAGCCAATCTTACAATATTTAATAAACTTTAAAATAACTGTTCACTCAGCAATCTCATGTCTGGTTCTCCCACAGAGATAAAAACACTAGTAAGAAAGATACTTGCAAAGATATTTATTGCAATGTTCGCCAAAGGGCAAAAAGACCTAGAAACATAATGTGCCCGTGAAAGCGGAATGGTTGGAAAACGTACGGCAGAGCCACACCATGGAATATTATGTAGCCATTAAAAAACAATGCAGGGCTTCCCTGGTGGTGCAGTGGTCAAGAATCCGCCTGACAATGCAGGGGACACGGGTTCAAGCCCTGGTCCGGGAAGATCCCACATGCCGCGGAACAACTAAGTCCATGCGCCACAACTACTGAGCCTGCGCTCTAGAGCCTGCAAGCCACAACTACTGAGCCAGTGTACTACAACTACTGAAGCCCACGCACCTAGAGCCCGAGCTCCGCAACAAGAGAAGCCACCACTATGAGAAGCCCACGCACCGCAACGAAGAGTAGCCCCTGATCGCCACAACTAGAGAAAGCCCGCGTGCAGCAACAAAGACCCAATGCAGCCAAAAATAAATAAGTTAAATAAATAAATTTAAAAAAATGCATTAGGGAGTTCCCTGGTGGTCCAGTGGTTGAGACTCTGCGCTTCTACTGCAGGGGGCACGGGTTCTATCCCTGGTTGGGGAACTGAGATCCCACATGCTGCCTGCCACGGCCAAAAAATAAAATTAAAAAACAAAAAAACCCCTCAAAAAAGTAAAAAACAAAAAACAATAAATTAAAGTGATGCCAAGTGACTTGGGAGAATTTCCCTGGGGCAGAAAGTGTGTGTAGGGCCTCCCTGGTGGCAGAGTGTTTAAGAATCCGCCTGACAATGCAGTGGACACAGGTTCGAGCCCTGGTCCGGGAAGATCCCACATGCCGCGGAACAACTAAGCCCGTGAGCCACAACTACTGAGTCTGAGCTCTAGAGCCCGCGAGCCACAACTACTGAAGCCCGCGCGCCTAGAGTCCGTGCTCTGCAACAAGAGAAGCCACTGCAATGAGAAGCCCGCGCACCACAATGAAGAGTAGCCCCCGCTCGCCGCAACTAGAGAAAGCCTGCACACAGCAGCAAAGACCCAACACAGCCAAAAATAAATTAAAAAAAATAAAAGTGTAATACGATCCCATTTTCAACGCT